CACGGGTGACCATGGCGCGCGCCAGGACTTGTCACGACTTATAGGAAGGCTCGTGCCAAAAGAACGCAAAGTGACAGGACTTTAAGTAGTAAACGAGACACTTAGGCTACTGTCAAAGTTGAAATGAAGTCCAAAGGTTGTTGAGTGAGGAACAGATTGAACAAAGCTGAACCTATGGGCAAAGAACAAGTGCTCGCGTGGTTATGTTGCACCTGTCCAAAATTAACTCTCTAGCTGCATTCAGCGCTTGTCTGTTACAGAAACAGGCCTTTTGAAATGCTAGATAAAGATGTTATGTCGGCCTTTGTAGAGCGAAAATAATACTTTCATTATTCAGTGTTTGTAATCTGACGACGTTTAAAAGCACTCATTGTAACTGAATTAGTAAATGTTCGACCTTAGGTTTAATAATAATAATTATAAGTATAAAGAAGACACTTATCATTTGGAGGAGTGGGTTCTCGGCTTTCTACAGACTGCTGGGCTTGGACAGGCAGTGTGGGGCTTCTCGCTGTGCTAAAACTAAACATGTCATCCTCCTCGGGGCGCCTTACTCCCATAGCATGCGTAGTATTAAATGTAACTGTGATATCCAATATCTATTTTCATATTTATGTTCTTTATTGAAATTTGAAGACATGCCACGTGCGTAAAATTCAAACTAAGTAAGAGAATCTATTATACAGGCCTACCTACATCGGAATTATTTTCAGTCATAAATAACGAAATTAACACAACATTTAATTCACAGCTTACTCCAAATATTCAGTAAAAGCCCTATATACAAGAGAACAATTGAACGTTTTCGTTTACACAGGCTATGTGCGCTATATATAGGCCTAGTCTAATTAATTTATACTTGTCCACTTAATGCAAATGAGCTCTACTAATAACCATTTTACACATGGTTTGCCTGCAACATGATGGAGGTATATTCTCATCATGATAGATCCAAACCAAACGATTATAAACGGATAATGTCACGTCCATGCCATTTCAGGTGTTCTGAATATAAAGTAAATATACACAGAACAGTTTGATGCAACATATATCATAGGGTTAGGGTTATCATTTCTCATAATTTGATTCTAATATTTTTGTATCTTATCTCTTAGGAGGGCATCAGAGTTTTTGCCATCAATATGGGGAGCAAAGCGCTTCACGCACCAATTCCACTTCACCCGGCGCTGCAGCTCACCAACTATTCGTTCCTGCAGGCTGTCAACGCTTTCCCGGCGGACCAGTTGCAGGGGCTGTACGGCCTGAGTGCGGTTCAGACTATGCACATGAACCACTGGACTCTAGGCTACCCACACATTCAGGGCCTGCGGTCCACCATTACCGAGATGGCTGCAGCACAAGGGCTCATGGACCCTCGTCTCCCTTTCCCTGCGCTGCCCTTCACAGCCGCAGCTCAACTCTTTCATCCCAAACAAGGCGTGAGTGCCCACGTCGTGCAATCGCTACATAAGGACAGACCGAGATTTGATTTTGCCAATTTGGCCCTGGCCGCGACGCAGGAGGACCCACCAAAAGCTGCTAATCTGGCCAAGTTGACATCAGGACTGGGGGGCACAATCTCAGAGCTGAGCAAGCTTTCCCCGGATCGAAAGCCCACGCGAGGCAGGCTCCCGTCCAAGACTAAAAAGGAATTTATTTGTAAGTTCTGCGGGAGGCATTTCACTAAGTCATACAACCTGCTCATCCACGAGCGGACCCACACTGACGAGCGGCCGTACACCTGCGACATTTGCCATAAGGCTTTCCGGAGACAGGACCACCTCAGGGATCACAGGTAAGACCGCCTTTTTACACGGTCATTACGCACCAGTCACACAGACAAAACTCCGCGTTAAACCTGCAAATGATTTTGTTTAACCACATTATAAGGCATGCATGTTCCCAAAATTCACTCAGTGAGGGCGCTAAAGCCCCTTTAGTGAGAAACACTGTGGTAAGAAGGCTCTGTATGGTGTGTGCAGGGAGCAGGCGTCTAATGAAGTGTTCATTTTTCTTTGCAGATATATTCACTCCAAGGAAAAACCATTCAAATGTCAAGAATGTGGGAAGGGATTCTGTCAGTCTCGGACTCTAGCCGTTCATAAAACCTTGCACATGCAGGTACGTTCAACATCACTGGACATAAAATCACCCTGAATTTACTCCTGACCAATAATTACGCCGTCTCTGGTGCATGCATGGGGAGGCCATTTAACAGTTTATCAGTACGCAATGTAAGATTCACTAATAATTACCCAAACTTTTGTAAAAAGTGAAAACAACAATAGATCAACAGATGAGAGTGCGTTTCATTTGAGTAACTGAAAGATCTATCAATTTTATATAATTAAAAGGAATAATCCTTTGCTTGCTTTAAATCTAAACAGGAGTCTCCCCACAAATGCCCCACATGCGGAAGAACCTTTAATCAAAGAAGTAACCTGAAAACTCACCTTCTCACCCATACAGACATCAAGCCCTACAGCTGTGGCCGCTGCGGAAAGGTGTTTCGGCGCAACTGTGACTTGCGACGGCACAGTTTGACGCATAGCCCTCTCCAGGACTACTAGCCTGCATGGACAGACTAAACGTGCAAAGGATAAAGCAGCAGCTTTGCATTTGGTCAAAGACATTATCCAAACCTGGACTGCACTGTTCACTGCAGAGAGATTTGGTTCAACAACGGAGCATCTTTTACCTGTAAATATCTAGAACATGTAAATAATGTTTTCCATGTTTCTTTGTCTTTAAATAATACAGCTTTAAACTATGTTCAATTGTATTGTAGAAATAAATATGTTATATGAATACAAGTGGTTCTGCTTTTTGACCAATTATTGTTAAGGACAAAGTCCGAGCTTTAAATGCTTAAACATTAATTTAATTATTCAATAAAGATGAAAACAAGTAAGAGAAATTCTTTCTAATTCGTCTCTAATTTACATAAATGCTTGCCTGTCTAAACAGCAAACATGATAATATTTTAGATGCAAGTCTGTCATCACATCTCAACATTGTAGCGTACAGGTATAGAATTAAATACCTATTTCCCGCCTACACTTTAACACACCTCGCATGGCATAGAACCAGTAAAGAGTGTTTCATATGACAATATTTACAGTCCCTGTTGATACAAAGTAATTGTTCGTAGTGCAAAAAACAAAAAAAAAAAAAAAAAAAAGTATCCCAGTGCGCCAGTGCGCCCTGGTCAATCAGGAATTTTGTTGCTGAATTAGCCTAATTAAATTTCTAATCTTACCTCAGAGTTCTCGCCATCCAGGTTTCTTTGTGTCTCACTTTTGTCACTTGATTACGTCCACGAAGCAGCTGGAGTTTTCCACAATAAAAAAAAAGGCCTTTTAAAGAAAGGTGATGCGCATTCATTCGTCCTTAATGAACCTTCGTTTGATCAACAATGCACCTTATAGGCAATTATTCTAAGGATTATTTAAATGCATGTATAATAATAATAATAATAATAATAATAATAATAATAATAATAATAATAATAATAATAATAATGTCTGCCTCTTCTTGTAGGGTTTGGAAAACAATAATTTAGGTAGGTTATACAAAATGAATAATTAATAATTAAAAGGAAATAAAATAAACCACTTTGTTTCACCCAATTTAAATTTAACAGTAGGCAAGCTATGGGATCGACCAGGGCATGCAGTAGCCTGGGTCTAAATAAAATCCGGTCGTGATAGTGGCCACATATGACTTGTACAGAGAGTAATTAAAAGTGGCGCACAAAAATCCCACTCCCAGTTTACGGGATGACCCAGCAGCGCGGGCCTCCACTGTCTGCCTCTTTGAGAAACGTGTTATCAAACGAGCAGGAGAAGAGGAACAGGCGGGCAGCAGGCCAGAGCCGCGCTTTCATGGTGTTCACATCTTTCTACTCAAGAAACAATCTGGAAGAAGTGACTCTTTGCACAGGCTATGCAAAATTAATCAGAAGTTTAAAACATAGGCTTACAATAATTTTACAAACTAATAGGTAATTTATTTAGTGTCAATGTGTGTCTTGGTGAAAAGTTTGTAAAAGGGCTATAGGCTAAAGTTTGACAAGACTAGGCGATATCAGGACCTATGGCGTTGCTGTCAAAGCAAATAAATTGAAACAGGTTTGAATTCTGAATTTATAGACAAGGTTTGATCATGTGTCTCATCTGTTGCAGACGTAGACCTATGCAAACATGCTGTTAGGTTACATTAAATAGCCTGCAACACACTTTTAGACCAGCATTTTAATACTTTGGCCTATAACAGAGAAACAAAACATATTCCAACAAAATGTGATGTTTCAAACTCTTACATAGTTAAGGCTAAAAAATTAACAATTCTGTAATAATGTGCATCAATGAACAGACTGCGATGCTTCTTCCAGCAAGGGCATTTCAACAGCCTATTCTATTGTGTTTGAGCCTTTGATATCACTTAGACAGTGGGTCGCCAGATATCAGAAAATAAATCAGCATCTCCGTAATAATAATTAATTTAGACCATAACCTTTCCATTGGAAACACTGTAAAAATCTAAATGTTCAAAAAATAAATAATTAAAATAATATAAAGTACTAGGCTAGTTTACCAGGCCTAGCCTACTTCACTATACAGCATCACAGCACCGTCAACCCTGACAACTACGGTCACAGGTGATGAACTGATGCCACCGCGAGACGAATAAAAAAAAAACCTCACGGACTACACTTATGTATGCCTCTTGTGTCATAGGAAATTTAATATATTTATAAGTTTATAAGTAGCTCTCTCTCTCTCTCTCTCTCTCTCTCTCTCTCTCTCTCTCTCTCTCTCTCTCTCTCTCTCTCTCTCTCCTCCCCCTTCTCTCTCTCTCTATCTATATATCTATCTATATCTATATATATATAGATATAGACTTATATATATAGAGAGCATTGGAACACCAACTTTATTGCTTTCATACTTGCTTCTGGATTGTATTGTAAGGGTTGGCATGAACGCCACAAAGCGGAAATGGAAGCTTGCTGGATGTTTACGGATGACGTACAAGATGTGAGGATTGCTTTTCGTGTTGAACCAACAGTAGTTTAGTACTTGCTTTTGTATGAGCAGTTAGCTGTCTCTTCTAACAAATACATATTACTTGCTTAAGAACCTGAAGCCGTCTGACCTGCAGCTTTCCCTGTGGGGTGGGGATGTGGTCCTTAGCAAACTAGATCTCAAACTGGATGTACTGGAACAGGTACCTCACTGTTTATTATTGAGCAAAAAATAATATTATCCATGTTTATTTGTTTCCAGGGGCGGCTCAGTCTAAAGCAGAGCTGACTTAATCGAGTTTAGAAACACGTTTTGAAACACGTGTGATCATTGAACAAGTTTTGCTAACATATTGATAGAAAGAATACAAAACTATGCTTTGGACTGTTTACATTCTACACTTACACAACCTCACAAAACACAATGGCAATGTTACTTTTGAAATCATGTCCTGTATGGACTACTGTAAGAATTGCTTCAGCTTTACTGCAACTGAATGTACAGCATGTATGTTTACTGTCTACTGTATTTTCTGTATCGTGTATGTAGGAGCTGAAGCTTCCCTTTACATTCATGAGTGGTCACATACATGAGCTGCGGATCCATGTGCCATGGACCAAACTTGGCTCTGAGCCTGTTGTCATCACAATCAACACTATGGAGTGCATTCTCAAACTACGAGATGGAGCCCAGGTGAGTGTTTGTCTGATTATCAAGTCTGCACAATTTCCAAGGAGAATTACATTGGTTATTTAACCTCATACAGATTCAACAATAATGATAATAGTTTTTATCCTAACATCCCCTACAGGATAAGAGCAAAATATACAATGTAGTACCCCTTTTTTATTTGTTTTGAGTTTATCTTTTATGATATGATTAAACATTTTAGACAGGAGATTTTTCCTTATTGCAGTAGCATAGTGGTGTCTTAGAGAGGGGTATAAATATAAACTAAACTAAAAGTTAGTTGAATTAAAATAGAGGGTGAAGTGAGGGTGTAATTATCAGAGTATGGCCTATTTTTCATGTTTTTGCTAAACTGAAATTTGAGTTAAGTTCCTGACCAGTTTTGGACGGCTGAAATTTCAAGACCAGATGTGCCCAGAAAAACGCATTTCTTGGGAAGTCAATTACAGCTAATTATATAGATTGAGGTAAAAATGTGTAACACGTGAGCCTGAGTGGCCTAAAAGTAATGGTAAAGCTCGTATTGTGCAGGTGGCTACTGCTTCAGAGATCTGATTTCTGGAACCATCTGTAAATTTAAACTTATTGTTATGCCTCATACACTTGAAGTCATCTACCGTTGTTGATAGTGGTGAGAGTGCGTAGTCCCAAAACAACTATTTGTTGCAGATGTTGTCTGAGAGGCACCCAGTCAGGAGAAGACTTTGGGAAAATTGCAAATGACATGTAGACAAATTATTCAGTGGTATGTAAACCCCAGGGACATAATTTGGATCAGTGCCAAGAGTTAGAGTAGAAATCCTTCCAGTATGAGGAATTTAAATGAGCCACTGTACCTTTCCCCTGTGCAAAGGAGAGATCTGACCATTGCTGACTACTGTGTTCTGCTGCCAAAAAATTCACACAGCTTCCTCATATTATGTAAATTTGTGCAATTTGGTAACTTATACGGCTGATTACCTTTATTATTATACCTTAACTTCTCATGTCCCAGTACCACCCATTCTAAAGACATTTTGAAAAAAATGGTTGTAGAGTATTGTTTAGTCAATCTGAGTGAAGAACATGAAAATTTATTCTCAAAAGTAATATTATAACTCCTGCTTGTTGGTACGGAATTGACATGAACCAAGTCAGCCTCTTGCGATTTGAGTGTGGAAATGATAAATGATCAGAATAATCCAGTTTGTTTTCTTAATTACTATTAGGGGCTCAGTGCTGGCCTGTGAAAACATCCGCATGTCTTTTGAACTTCATTAAGGCTTGTGTTACTTGACCGGATTTATTCAGCCCGTTTTAATGCTGCTGTTTCCTCTTGGGAGGAACTGGGTAATATTAACGATATTCAGATTGCCCAATTGGACCCATCTGCAAAGCTCTAAATGCACCTCATATAGTTTCCAGAAATGGGGTGTTTTGCAGGAGTTGGAGATTACAGGCTCCGCTGACAGTATAATCGCTCCAAATTAGCTGTAATGAGAAAGTGCAGTGCAAAAATATGGTATTAGAAAACAAAATGTAAATGTTGTCAAGTTGTTTTGAATACTGCCAGCACATTTACTAATACATAGGTCATAATATGTTACACATTAGTGAATTTACATCTTTTGTTAACTGCTCTTTAATGGCTGTTGCTGAAATATGTGAATTGTTTTAATTTTTTCCTAAAACATGCATTTCTGTTTCACTTCCTGAGTGGAGTGTGCTGCTACAGATGCTGTAGATGAGGTGTGATCGCTGCTGTGGAGGGGGACTGACTGGACAGCGCTTTAACTGGATCAGGGTGTTGACTCCCAGGCAGACTTTATTCTTTACGAGTCGGAGATAAGGGCTTGCATTTTACTGAGGAGAGCTGCTCTGGGTTTGGCTCGACTTTCTGCTTGATCTGGGAGTTTTATGGCTGCAGAGAATGTTCGCCACTGATGAAGGTTCTGATTAATGCATTGCCTCGAGATGATTTGGGAGACTTGTTGGTTTGGCTCTCAGTCCAAGCCCCACCACCAACCCTCATCACTCCTTAATAATGGCTAATACTTGTGATTCAGAGAACTCCCTTTCAAAGACACCACCTTTTCTACAATGTTTCATTCAAATCTAGATAAAGTGTTTGAGATATCAAGTAACTATAGTTATGCCATAGTCAAATGTAGCTCTTTTTTCATCCCTATCTGCACATAGAGAATCATTCAATGCTTTTAGCACCACTCTCTGGCAGTCATCCTGGGTAGATAGAACCGTAGGTTTAAAATCCAAATGACATAAATAATATAGATATGTAGGTCTATTAGTCGGGATTGTTTGTAACTTCACGATGCATCATGGACTTAGTTAAATATCCTAAACAGCCCATGGAGGTTGGTAACCAGATACTACAATCGAGATAATCTCTGTCCCAGTGCCATCCGGAAACCATGGCCTTTGATTGTAGGAGCGCTGGGAGCAAATGGCTTACAGAGATTGTAGCATAAATCCATGTGATCAGCAAGGCCCTTGTCCTGAAAAGTTATTTAAAATGGATAGGCCAAAATGTAACACCATAATTTAAGACAAATTTTCCTCTTTTGATATTGTGGCCTATACTTACTCAGAATTGTACAGCTTTTTAAATTCTTATTAGACGATGGCCTGAGATTACAATTTTTTTTTTCTTTAAAACCTTTTGTGACACTGGTAAATGTAAAAATTATATTTTACTATTGTGGCCATTTAGCAGGCAGTCCCTCTGGTTCATCTTGGAGGTGCTTCCTGGTGGGATGAGGTTACTGCATATCCTCAGACACTCGTCAGACACAGGAAAGCGCTCAGGGAAAAGTCCATGACTAAAAAGAGGGATCGATCCACAGTGTACAGGATGCTGCTGTTCCACTGTTTAATCCCCTGCTCTCAGGCCATCCGGGACACAAGTGCTCCATCTCAAGTATTAGGGAAGATACTAAAGTCTGGGAAACAATTACCGGGCAGTTAAGACTAATGCTAGCCTTTTAGGCCCCTGACTTAAACAGAAGAACTTAAACAGAACTGTGCAACTGTTACTAGACTAGGACATGTTTTATATTCATTGTTCTTGCATTTGGCTTTGTCTGTGCTGAGGCTTTGCCACATTTCACATTTCAATTTCCAGCCAAAGTTTTACGTTTAGATTAGATTACATTACTGTATTTAAAAGTGGACAGTGCAATTTCAAAAAACACATGATTAAACATGAGTAAAGAGTCAGAATTGGCCAAGAGGCTTTTTTCCATCTGTAGTCCTCTGGCCCTGACGTTAGAGGAGCAATATAAAAAAAGTGAAGTTGCTGTGCAGCATTTGTGTATACTGGATTGTTGTGTTAATAATATTGTTAAGGGTGGTCTTAGAACAAGAGGATCCAGTTTAATCTAAGAGGTGTATTAATATGTAATGGTAAATTGGCCAATAACGAAATAATAATAACCTCTAATGTATGCAGTTTCTTTGGGTGGGTCTTGCTCTAAGAAAAGTGAATAATGTACCTTTGTCAGTGCCATACATTTAGGCCATTTAGTAGGATTCAGGTTTTTACCTAATGTAACCTAATGTACGTTGATTATGTGTATAATTTCTCAGTAGATTAAGGTAAATCAAGGGGCTCTATGGAACATAATTGATGGGTGGTCTGTGTTTTGTGTTTCATGATTCCACAGATGCTCACACACCTTTGGCCTGTGAGTAATTACTTTCTTTTACACGCCATAGTGGTCTCTGTGCCAGAAAACGCAAGCTGTTCAGCAAGTAAAAATGAATATCTGGCTACATTTCCTTGTTATAACATGTTTAACTATTTCTGCATGTGCTGTGATCGAAGCTCTGTCCTGGAGGTTCCTGAAGTAGCCCTTGATGCTGGTGTTGCGTGTGGGCACTTGGAATAGAGTGTGCCACAGTTAGTAGTGTTGGCTCTAATCTCCACCGGCTCAGGGCCCTGTAATGTGTGTGTAAGAGCCCAAGAATGCTACATGAATAATTGCCCAACATGTCACTCTCCATTGTGGGGGAGAGGGGAGAGTGGGGGGGAGACTTTTAGAAGAGGCATATGGTGAGCTCAAAACATAATAAACACACTGGATACCTTTTTGACAGAGTGTATCACTCAGCTTTGACATTCACCATACCACATTTGTGACAAATTTGATAAGGCTTGACCTGCAGTTGTTAAGTTTCATTCGTTTCATTGGTGGAACAAGAAGTTACCATTGGGTATACTCATTGTGCCTGTCCCACATTCTCATACATGATAAGTGGTTGCCTCATGAACCACATACATATACATATACACTTGAATTATGTTCAATACACAAATTACTTACGTTCCACAAATCTTTCAGTTTTCCTCAAAATCAACTCTGGAAGCCCAGCCAAGCCTGGGTAAGGTCACAGTGCCAAGCCAGCCAAGTCAACTTTATTTATATAGCACAATTAAAAACAATAGGATTGTACCAAAGTGTTCATTGATTGAAGCAATATCAATATTGACTCCACAGATCAGACAGGTATTGGTTCCAGGATATCGGTAAAAACGTTTCATAATGGACTTGATCTTGCTGGGCTGAGCACTTTGATATTCACCAATAATGCTTGCGAAGGATCATCTGCCTGTGGCGTGTACAATTTTCCTTTCAAGAGCCTTTACTGGAGCTTGATGCCATATTTCATAATATTACATTTTCTGATAATTAACTGTTAATTGGCTGTGCCAGTTTTGGGTGTTTTAAACTATTACCATGAATAATACATTACATGAAATCCTTTCAGTGGGTTAGTCATTGGTGATTGATCATTGATCATTGTTTAGCACAATTGGACCATTTTAGTACCGTAAATGTCAATCACTCTTGCTGTATGCCGTAGGTATGGGACGAGTCACAATTTACCCATGACAAGATGAGACACGGGACTATGATATTGTTTAAAAAATACTGCATTGATGCTGTGTGTTTCATAGCACAGTTTTTTAGACCCATTGCTTCTGAAAAGCTGTAACTCACAAG